TGGTCCTCTGCTCCCGCCATATCTGCCTCTCCCACTGACCGTACTGATTCTTCCCTCCTCCTTCACTCCCCTACCCTCTCCCCCCACCTTTGCTCCCTCGCTACCCCCAGACATGGCTGGTCCTGACCTAAGGGGAACCTCCCCCCTCCCGCCCTCCCTGGATCCCCCTAAAAATTTTTTAAAACACCCCTCTAAAAACAATCTCAACTTGAATAATTTAGAAGCTTTTTTGTCCGTAACTGCCGCATGCCACCTCTTTCCCTTTAAGCAGAAGTGGGGCTTGGTGGACTGTGCCTGGTGCAATTTTGGGGGGCTTCAGCATAGTTTGGAGGCATTGGGTGTCGAGAGGGACCCCTCGCTTGCCCTAACCGTGTTTGTTCAGCTGTTAAGCTGCGTTTCGGGGGTTAAAAATGTGGCTTTATTTCTGGAATCTGGCCTGTGTTTTGGAGAAGTTGGGTTTAAGCCACACACCTTCAAAGCTGGTCCTTCAAGAAAAGATTGGGTGGCCATTTGTCTGGGGTGGTATAAGGGCTCCTGCCTTGGACAAGGGGGTTGGACTAGATGACCCCTCAAGGTCCCTTCCAGCTCTAGGATTCTTTGATTCAGTTCTGAAGCGGGTAAGAGTCTTGAACGAGGACCCCACCAGGCTGAAATTAGGGCACCAGGAAGGTCAATTGACTGGGAAACTGGAAGCTCAGGAAGGAGGCCGTAGACTAAAGGAAGTGTCCATTCTGTCTCTGGTGTGAGTCTTGTTTGTCCAGCCAGTTTGTGTTCCACATTCCTTAGTGAAGGTTGACTAATTGCGCTAAACGTGAAACCAAGTGAATTTTCCATCTCTTAAATCAGGGGTCTCCAAACTTGGCAACTTCAAGCCTTGTGGACTTCAACTCCCAGAACCCCCTAGCCATCCATGCCTGTTTCTTTTCTCCCACTCCCTAGAGCGGAGAGATTGCAGAGGAAAGGACCGCAAGAGAGTAAGCAGGCATACAGTGGGGATACGTATCAAAAGGAATGCGTTATTGCCGAGGAATTCTGGAAGTTGAAGTTCATCCATCTTAAAAGTTGCCAAGTTTGGGGACCCCTGTCTTAAAGCTTTCCAGGTATTTGGTTCCGTTTTATTCAGTTTTATATTGTTTGATGGAACGTGTCCTAGATTTAGAGAAAGTCTAATCTATCTGCCTGCCTTGTACCTGACGAAATAAGTCAAGGGCTCCCTGTAAGATGGCAGGGGAAAAACTGGAGAAATGTCTAAATATATGTATTCTAACACGTGCATTTGAAAAAGGCTTTTTTCCTCAGATATACATACCGGCGTCTCTGATTTTCATTTGGAGAACTTGCAAATATCAGACAATTGCAGTCTTGAGGGATTTCTAATTTTTTTATTAGATAAATTGAATTTTTCTCCCCTAACCCCAATCTGTCTTGAGTCTTTTGTTTTCTCTGCTAACTACTAAAGTGATAAACATTTCAGCAAAGTTGCAAATGTGAATTTTAGGGGATTTCCCCCCCCTCTGTGGTCTTAAATCAAAGGAGGTGTGTTTAATTTGCTTGTTTATTTAATTTCTTTAATGAAGCAAAGCAAAAAAATTAAAAAGAGCATGTCTGCTGTGATCGCATCGGAAATGTTTTGAAAATCCAAGTTAGACTGAAACTTTTGAACAGGGAAAAATGTAAATAACAGGAGCTCCTGCTGGATGTGTTACGCTGTTTCCGTTACAGTTTTATTTCTGTTTGAAAACAGGGTTTGTTTATGGTTTAGTGTATTTGTGGTTAAAGCAAATATCTCCTTAGTGTATCGGTTCAACCACTGAGATATATAAAATAGAATTTATGGTGTAGTGTAGTGTAATATATAAATCCAAGGTAAAGTCGTAAAATGGGCAAAACTCACTTAACAAAATGTCTTGTTTAGCAACAGAAATGTTAGGCTCTGTTGTGGTCATAAGTTGAGGACTTTCTTACAGCAAGCAAGGTGCTTGTTCCAGAATTGTATTTTTCCTCCCTCGTAGCCAGGTTTTGCGGCTGTGTTTCTAGTCCTGTGTGAGAAGCGCTGTCTTCTCCATCTGTCTTCCTAGCTTTTTCCCGGATCAAGAATAGCGTCTAGGCTTCTTCCCAGGTGCCCTTTGACTCTTCTGAGGTAGATTGCCCCGCCACAGGAGGCTCCATCCCCTGCCCGGGCCCAGGCTCAGCGCTCGGCCGCCGTTTTTTGTGTGAACAACCTGTTATTTCTCTCTATTTCAGCCAGGCGAGAGGCCGGGCGGCCTCCGAGGCAGAGCCTTCCCATGCCAGGGGCCGTAGCTTGTATTAACGGCAGTTGGGTAGGATCTGGCGGAGGCCGGGGACCCCTCCCGGCCTGAACCCGGCGGCCGGTGCTTGTCCCTGCCTGCACCAGAAGGGACGGTCTGAAGTACACAGCAACACCCTGCTCGCCAGGGTTCAAGACGCCCCGTGAGTACTGAGTGCGGTTAACGTCTTCCCTTCTAGCAGGGCTGCAGCCGGACCCTGCGGTGGCCAGACCCGTCTCTCCGTCCCAGCCGCTCTTCCCTCCCCAGGTGGCTGGGGCTTCGTGTCCAGCTGAGGGGGTCCTGTCCCCCATTTCTTGAGTCTCAGCTGTGGAGGAAGCAGGGCTGTGGAAATCAGCCTGCAGACGGCCCTTTCCGGGGGAATTTGCTTGGATGGATTGAAAAGCCAGCGACCACTAACCAGGGTTAATTGAGGGGTCCTTGGTGCTCTCTGAGCATGGTGGCTTCTTTGCAGACGTTTCATGACCCAACTAGGTAACGTTATCGGTGCTAGAAGGGAGGGGGGTTTGAAGGGAGGAGGAGGAGGAGGAAAAAGAGGAGGATTGTGGGGTCCTGGGTGATCTCTGAGCTTGATAGTTTCCTTACAGACGTTTCATGACCCAACTAGGGAACATCATCTGTGTTTGCTTTCTTTTAAAACTCCATCCTTCCTTTTCTCTCAAATTATTCTTAACCCCAACCATCCTAGATAAGTTACGCCATTAAAAAAGCGACCGGGATGTTTCTGTGTGCCTCGGATAGACGCTGGACGGTTTGAACAGTCGGGATTCAAAAAAGGTCTCATGGTGAACGACTTGCTGAACGATTCGGGTGGCCCAAACTGGAGCTGGCCCAGTGTGGATGATGGGTTATAAAAGGAGACAGATCGGGTCTTTGGGGGGGGGAAGCAGGATCGAGAAAAGATGGCCCAGAAAGAGGAAAGCGGGAGAAAAGACCGTTTGAAATCCGGGTGCATTTTGGCTTAGAATAGGTATAAGACGAAGCGGTGAGAGATTCTGGCGGGTTTTCAAGTGTTCGCTGCAATATCCCACCACAATAAAAACTGACATAAGTGATTGTACACATCACTTCGGCTTTCACCTGCATTTGCAACCGAGTCCTGTGAACAACAGTGTTGTCATTTCCAACCCCACACAGTCAAAAATTTCTTTGCTGTCATTTAAGAGGAGGTTTCTAACCGGGCGGTCGTTGCTGATTTGAAGTGTGTTTTCTCAGTTGAAATTATTTAATTGCGTCGTTTAATCCACGGGCGCTGCAGTTAATTGGTGGTTTATTGTTGTTGTTATTGCTGGAGATTGCTTAGGAGTTTTGGATGGACATTGCAGTTTTATCAGGAACTCCAAAACAGGGAAAACTTTCTGAATTTGTGTCTCTTGCCAAAAAAAATCATTTCTTTGAAAGCGTTGTGATTTTGTTTTTCAATTTCTCCCGGATTTTTTTTTCTTTTCTAATCCTTCCCAACTCCACCAGTAAAAAACAAACAAACCAGTCCTTTTGTCCATTCAGAGGCCTGGTTTTGGGGTGCCACTAATTTGGGGGCGCTGCCAAGTCTTCACTCAATAATTTTGCTGGTCTCCATCCCATTGTCAGGTTTTGGATGTGAAGGTTCCTCTACGATGTTCCTCTCTTGCTTTTTATCTGAAACTTAGGTTTAAAAGAGGCTTGTGGTGTTAACCGGTCTTTTAAAAATATAATTTAGCTGCTTCTCTTTGACTTTGGACCAAAAATAGCCAGTCCTCGACTTACGAACAAAATGGAGCCCACAATTTATTTCGCTAGGCAAGGCGGTTGTTAAGTGAGCTGACCCCTGACTCTCTTCCCCACCCCCTCTATTTTTTCTCTCCAGAATGGCGGAACCGCGCTTTAACAACACCTATTTTTGGCCACCTCCTCCCACCATGCCCAGTCAGGTAAGAACCGCGACGTCTCGGCTTCCAGTTACCGGTTAGATTTTTTTTTTTTAAGTTTCTAGTCCTCAAGAACCAAAGCTCACCCTGCTAATTGGCTGGAGTCACGAGAGCATCAATTTTTCCTACCCTGTTTGGAAATGCTAGGCCTGATCAGATTGATGAATGCAAGTCAAGGAGGCTTTGGGGATTAAACCTGACCCCATGTGGGAGTCTGGGGGGATGTTCTCCATTGGATAATAGAAAATAAAACGAGATTTTTTATTTATATAATTGCCAGGTAAGAGATAACGTCATAATTGTACATGTATTTATTTTTTTTCTTCCTTCTCTTTCTTTCCTTCCTTCCTCCTTCCCTCCCTCCTTTTTCTCCTTTCTTCCTTTTCTCCTTCCTTCTTTCTCTCCTTCCTCTCTCTTTTCCTTCCTTCCTTCCTTCTTGCTTTTTTATTAGTTTGTGTTTTTTATTTTCTTCTAAAAATTTGAATAACATGTATTTTTAGAAAAGAGAATAGCATCCCTTGAATTATTTTACTTTCAGTTATTTTTCTGTATGTAAGAAAAAGGAGATATGTTTTTTTTAAAAAAAAAATCTTCTTCCAAATTCCCATTTTAATGGGAGGGAGACATGGATAAAAGCACTGGGGAGCAACCACATAGATTCACGGTCCTGGTGCGGTCCTCTTCTTCTGGGAAGCTACTATGCCATCCAAGATCTCCTAGTGGCCTCCACACCAAGATGAACTGGTCTGACTCTGCTTAGCCTTGAGGTCCAGCCAAAGTTTAGCAGAAATTCCTCGGTTGTGTTGAATCAGGGCTAGACAACATTTTCTCACTGTCAAATTGTTGTTGGTCCTTAAATTTGCCTTGGCTGGTTCTCCACCACCTCTAGGGCTCCCTCTGTCAAACGCGTGAATTGCAGTGGCCCTTGAAAGCTCATCTAGTCTGACCCCCTTTGCTCCTTGGCCTCCTGTCGTTTTTAAGCCACGATTGTCGGTCGTTCTGGCTTAGTCATTCTGTCCTCTCTTCTCTTTTGTGCCCAGCTGGACAATTTAGTCCTGATCAACAAAATCAAGGAGCAGCTTATGGCGGAGAAGATCCGCCCCCCTCATTTGCCCCCTACCTCGGTGTCTTCCCAGCAGCCCCTGCTGGTGCCCCCCTCGCCAGCGGAGAGCAGCCCGTCCATCATGTCCATTCCGAAGCTCCAGCAGGTCCCGGGGCTTCACCCCCAGGCGGTACCCCAGCCGGACGTTGCTCTTCACGCGCGCCCGGCCACCAGCACAGTCACAGGTATGGAGACAAAAGGACGGGTGCTAGTCCTCATGGTTTTCAGATATAAAATCGGTGCGCTGCTTTTAACAAGAGAATTGCGTTTGTAATTTGTGGTTTGTTTAAAAAATTAAGAGAGGAGAACCGAGCTGAATGGAGACGCCTCCAGTGCAGGATTTTGCTTAGCCTTTTTTCCCCCCCCCCGACTTGCAGGTCTGGGGCTAGGGTCCCGCACTCCTGCCGTCAGCACTTCTGAATCCAGTACGGGGACGGGCACCAGCACCGCCTCCACGCCCACCTCCTCCAGTCAAAGCCACCTCATCGCCTCCTCCCCCACCCTCATCTCGGGGATCACCAGCCCCCCACTGTTGGACTCCATCAAGACAATCCAGGGCCACAGCCTGCTGGGGCCCCCCAAGAGCGAGCGAGGCCGCAAGAAGATCAAGGCCGAGAACCCGTCGGGACCCCCGGTCCTCGTGGTCCCCTATCCCATTTTGGCTTCAGGAGACATCGGCAAAGAAGGGAAGACGTACAGGTGGGTCTCGGGAAAAGGCTTCCGGTCACACCTCAAAATAAATGTGCTGTTTATTCTGCCATGTTTAGTTTCAAAACGGGAAGTGGTTGTGTTTAAGTTTTCATGTCACACCTGACTATTTTTGGTTTGAAAAATGGGTGCCCACACAAACAGACCCAACCTATCTTGAAACCAACAAAGAATAAAACTCTTCTCATTATCCCTTGCTCCAAATCTATGGAGGGCCAAGTGGGACGTCACTCCTCGCACCACAAGGATCCTAATAGCCTCATGGATTTGGCTCTCTGTGTTGTGGAGCCACGGGGGACAGTAACGTTGCTGCATCTTGTGACAGGGAGTTCCAGTGATCAAAGTCCGGCTTGTTTTTCTGCCTGAAGCTTCCTGTCATCCTCCAAGTGTTGTAATTTCGGCCTCCATTTTTGCCAGCCAAGGACAACATTTTCTCCTGCAACCCCGAGCGTTGGCTGTCCACACAGGGCAAATCCATGTTGTGGGCCCCCCTCTGAGGTTGGGGTTCTGCGGTGTCCCTAAACCCTCTTCCTCGCTCCTCAGGTGTAAAGTCTGCCCGCTTACCTTCTTCACCAAGTCGGAGATGCAGATCCACTCCAAGTCGCACACCGAGGCCAAGCCGCACAAGTGCCCGCATTGCTCCAAGTCCTTTGCCAACGCCTCCTACCTGGCGCAGCACCTGCGCATCCACCTGGGCGTCAAGCCCTACCACTGCTCCTACTGCGAGAAGTCCTTCCGCCAGCTCTCCCACCTCCAGCAGCACACCAGGTACGGCTCACCCGGCACAGAGGCCTGGGGACCTTGGTAGCGCCCTCCGGCTGGGCAGTGGGGCAGCTCCAGCCATTTGGAGGGGAGCCAAGGGGTGGAGTTAAATGGAAGAGGTGGGGTTACAAGGGAGGGGCAGAGCTGCAAGCAGAGGATAATGCAGCAATGTGCAATCAGACCTGTACTGTACACAGCCTGTACTACACAGTTCATGAATCCAGCTGGGGACAAGACATTCTGGAGGCTACCCAAGAGCCCACTGCCATCTCTTGCATCCTTCACACCCTTTGAAAATTGTGCAAGAATGGAGCATGCTTAACGCTGGCGTGTCACCCAAATCATTGACACGTGTGTCTTAGCTTCACCACCATCTAAATTTTTGTCCCTCAAGATCGCAGCACAGAGTACGAGTCTCAGGGTGTGGAGAAGGTGTGGTGCCTTTGTGGAACTGATCCCTCTGTCTTGATGCATTTCAGAATTCATACTGGAGACAGACCGTACAAGTGCCCGCATGCCGGTTGTGAAAAGGCTTTTACACAGCTCTCTAATCTCCAGGTGAGTGGAAAAAATTGGGACGGTGAGGCCACCGCTTGGATGCAAAATATCTCCTGTTTGTAAATTTGAACAATCACTAAACGAACTGTTGTGTGTCAAGGATTGCCTGTATCGGGTTCAAATTGTGACAATGTGGCTGCAGCTCAGGGAGGTGGGAAGAACTGCATCAGAGACTTCCTACTAGACTACCACTAGCTCTGGAGTTTTGCTGTCGCAGGGTGGGTGGCCTGCAAAACGGCCTCCAGAGGCAGATGGGACTGTATTTGTGTTTTACCTGTTTCTTTCCTCCCATTTCCACTACCCGCAGTCACACCAACGGCAGCATAACAAAGACAAACCCTACAAATGTCCGAACTGCTACCGGGCATATTCAGATTCAGCTTCGCTCCAGATCCACCTCTCGGCGCATGCAATCAAGCACGCAAAAGCCTACTGCTGCAGCATGTGTGGACGAGCGTATACTTCGGTAAGTAAGCCCCTCTGAGCCGGGGGACGTTCTGGGAGCTGAAGGTACAAATCGTCCCGCCCAATCGTATTACGGTTTATTTATATTTATTTATATCTGTCCTCTCCTTCCCCAGGAGACCTATCTGATGAAGCACATGTCAAAACATACGGTGGTGGAACACCTCGTCAGCCAGCACTCTCCTCAGAGGACGGAGTCCCCCGGCATCCCCGTTCGGATATCCCTCATCTGAAACGCAGAGAAGAAGGAGCCCTCCCCTTGCGTGACGGACCTTCGCAAATGCCCGAAATGAGAACGGGAGCAAGACGGAGATCTCCGGATTATGCAAAACAGCCGTAGTGTTCTCCCTGTGCTGTTTCCTCAGATTTCTTGACAGTGTACAGCACTGTGCTCAGGAGGACCAAGAGACCCCCCCCCCCAAAAAAAATATCTGTCCCCCACCCCTCATTCACCCCTGAGCAACCTCGGGCCTTGACTATGTTTGTGGAGGGGACATGTCCTCTTTGATGTTGGGGACAACCAAAGACAATTCCACAGCACTTTCCACCCTCCCTCGATCGCTTATCCAGGAGCGCCGTTTTCTGAGATCGCGGCGTTCTGTTTTTTCCCATATTCCCTCCCTTTTCTCAATTCAGATAATTTTTCCCTCTCCTCCTCTCCCCTCCCTCCCCAAAAAAACATTGGCACAGAGATTTCTTTCTGACATGGAGCACGCAATCCCTCTGGACTCCACCCTGAAGCCATCGAGGGTCTCCTTGGACAAGGCACAGTACCGTGAAGTATTTTGGTGCTAAATCGGAAGGAGACCCGACACCCCAGAAGCATCAAGAGAAGAGAGGCAGAGTCTGGCGGACGCAACAATGCCACGCGCCACACGTTGTAAGCCCGAACCCAGGCACTGCTGGCACAACGTCAGGGAGAATTATGGGACCGTCTTGTGCAAAAAGCAGAACCAACCTCTGGTCTTTTTCAAGAGAGGGAAAGCTTGGGAAAAATGGCAAAACTCAACGGGGAAATCCTGTACCTATTGGGGCCGGGGGGGGGATGGGAGAACAAGAGCACTTGTAACAATACGTCAGGAACGTCCACTGCATTAGACAAAAGGTTTGACACCCTGGTGGCCTGTTGGGACGAGACAAACCATTGGACGAAACCCGTCACGTAGAGAAGACGAGGTCGGCGCTTGTCCTGGCAGCAAAAGGGGGCACTGCTCTAGGGGACATGCACCGGGGAGGGGGGTTGTTGCTTCCATGCTCATATGTTAGCCATTTGTCCAAGCTACAGCTAGGTGGTTGGGATGTCGTATTCCCACTGCGTTGGAAAACCATTGTATTTGGTTGGTGGGCGTGCAACCTGGCCAAGTGAGTCTTCAAGGGGGAGGACGCCATTTCTTTTTCCTCCCAATCATCAAGTCCGTCCCTCCAGCTTTGTGGTCGCCCCAATTCATCTCTAGACGACCAGAAGATGCATCAACAGAAGCTCCTACGCCTCCTGGTTGGCGCATAAGGGACAGAACGTGACCATCCGTGATGAGAAGGAGCAACTTGTAGGGAACTCATTTATCTTACAGAAGGGGGGGGGAATCATCCAAGAGCCTTAGAAGTGGTCTTCCCCAGACGAAGAGCGATTATGCAGCTTTTCAATCTCAGGCCTGCCGATGGTCCTGCTTGCAACTCTAATGGAGGCTGCACATTGCAGTCGTTCAGTCGTAACAGTTGTAAAATATGTACCTCACAAGATTGGCCCAATTTTACAATCTTTTTCACTGCGGCCGTGACAGTTGAAAGTGAACAACTTAAGTCATTAAGTGTACGCCGCTGCTGTTTTAGCAAACCCACTGTTCACCATAACAGTAACTAGTCATAAGTCAAGGGCTACCTCTATAGTTGGAAGGGGTCCCCCCCTGGACTTGATCACCCCATAGCAATCCAGGCCGTCTTTTCTTCCACACACAAGTGGGCTCTGACACAACCACATTAGTTTGTAAGAGGCATTGGTAAAGATCTTGCATCTGACCAAAAAAAAAAAAACCCATCAATTTTTGGGCAGGACTTTGACATCATCCCCAACCTGCCGGCCTGCAGAACCCATCCAAAGCAAGTATTTCTCAACCTTAGCCACTTAAAAGATGTGTGGACTTCAACTCCCAGAATTCCCCAGCCAGCCCTGTCTGGTTTTTCTTCTCCCACCTCCTGCAGAGGAAGGGATCATAAGAGAGTAAGCAGGCCTCAATACACATAATAATGATAAAGTTGGAAGGGACCTTGGAGTTCATCTAGTCCAACCCCCTGCTCAGGCAGGAAACCCTATACCATTATTAGCGACGGAATTCTGGGAGTTGGAAGTCCACGTGTCTTCAAGTGGCCATGGTTGAGAAACTTGAGCTTCCGTTCTTGGTTGTCTCCTCTCTCCTTGTTCCTGGCTTGGTTTCTGCCTTGGGGGAGGCACAGGAAAGACCCCATTCCCAGAAAAATAGCCAGGGACTGATTTTTAAACCTCCCGCCCCCCCTAAAAAAAAAATGCTATTACTGATCCTTGGCTGAGTTTTGCTTCCATCCTTCCGAAACCGAAACTACACAATCCCGCCAGACCAAACCAACGGTTGCCTCTGCCCCCCCCCTTGAAAAGATTTTGCAGGCAAACCCAAATTCAACTCGGCTCACTTGCCTGGTTTTTAAAGTTGCACCTCATTTTTTGTCTAAATAGGGTAAGGGGAGGAAGACCTCCACCCCCTCCCCACCAACACAACTGAAAATCCACCTCTCTCTCTTAACATCCCTTTGCGTTCCCCGTTTTTTTTAAAGATAATGAATTATTTCTTTTTAAAAAAAGGAAAAAAATATTTTTACGCCTTAAAAATCGCTGTTTTTTTAAGCAATTTGTTTCTTTCTTGCTGTTTATACTGATTTGGTCCTTTCCCCCCTTTTTAAAAATACTTTTCTTTCTTGGTTTTGAATTGATGTTGTATGATATTCAATATTGTATCCTCTCCTCTTTTTTTTGGCATGTTAATAACTCTGTAAATAAGACTCTTATACATATTGTTAACATCTTTTTTTTTCTATATAAAAGCCCAGGAAGCATCTAGTTAGTGCCCTAATTATTACCCTTGTTAATGAAAAAAAAAAGGATTTTTTTTTTAAATATATAAAGAGGGAACATCCTTCCTCCCACTTTCTAAAACTCTCATGTTATGGGAAGAGCAGAGACTGTCCCTTGTTCCGGGCCATCGTTTGCATCGTTCCGAAAAATTTAAAAATATTATTACCAATATATGAGAAAAGATCACTTTTTAAAAGTTGCTTTGTATTTCTTCTCTGTTGTGGAAAGCAAATAATAAAATGTCTTTTCAATCTTGGGCTGGACTTGGCGTAGGGTCTTCCTCCTTTTCGTGGGCAAAGATAGGGGGCTGTTGGGCCTGCAACTCGGGGACCCTCCCCGCAAAGGCTGATGTCTACATTCACACAGAAAACGTTAAGTTACAAAAACCTTGAAGTGACCAAGAGGAGAGCAGATTGTTACAGAAAGTGTTGTCGGGTGGAGGAATCTGACACCTGCTAGATGGTGGATTCAGTTCCCATCATCCACAAACACCCAGAGCTGCTGACTAGGGTCAGTCGCAGCAGCAGCCAATGGTACGTCCAGGTACCCACATCCTCCATGCCTTCACGGGAACCAAGTCATTTCAAATTCTGTAACAGAACTAAGAATGAGAAAGGCCTCCAAGAAACTACACCCAAATCTTCCCGTGCAAAAAAAATGAAATAATGACAAACCATCCAGCAGCTCCAGATATTTCCATCTCCCCTTTTCCAAAAAGACGTTCCTGAAGGGTTGAATATTTTCAGCCTTCGAAGTGGAGCAGAAGACCATTTTGAAGACATTTTTTTTCCCAAAGATGTTTATTAAAAACCAGGAGATGGAAGAAACAATAGAAAGTCCTTTTCTCGCAGCCCAGAAGGCTTTGGTGAGTGTCCAGCACACGGGGAAACGAGGCATTGCAAACTGGCGACCACAGAGGGACACAGCTCAGCTGCACTCCCGCTTGCCTCTCTTTTCCGTCCCTGATTGCCCAAGGCGAACGCACCCACTCTCGACACCCCTGAGGCCTGCCCCGTCTTCCAGAGAGAAAACCAGCCCCTCCTGCTCCTCCCTTGGTGGATTAATTTTTTTTCCAAATGGGGTGTGTGTGAATTGATACTTGCAACAAACTCAAAATGTTTCTTAAGGCAGCTGGGGAACTGGTCTCGTGTCCATGGAATCACAGGTTTTTGGAAGGGGAAGAGCCCAAGGCAGCCCATGGTTGTGGCTCCAACCTGGCCACTCCCAATTTCAAACGGGGGGGGGGGAAAGGATGGACGGCAGAAAGGAAGGATGCATACCAATGAGGAGGGGAGCTTTGTCCAGGTGCTGTTTTGGGGTGGACCCCAATGAGCCCGAAAGAGCTGCAGGGGGCTGGGTGGAGCCAGAGAGATGGGGAAGTGCACTATGTGGCACCAATATCACACACACACACACATACCTACTCAAAAGTTTAAGGCAACGGTCCTGTTTGGCTTTGAGGTTCCAAAGAGGCTTTTTCCAATGCAAAGGGGGTGGGCGGCCGGGGCCGTAGAGGGCCTGGTGGGCCCCCTCCCTTCTCTGCCCAAAGGGTACCACTTTCCTCCCGTCCTGTAACAGGGAGAGGAGCAGCTGGGGTTGTCCAAAGGGAAGCTACGGACTACTATGTCATCATCTTCATATGTACACGGCCCCATGGACCTGCCCTCAGGGCATCGGACCACCAAGACGGGGGTCTGTCTCTTCTCCCCATCCCCTCCGTCAGTGGGGGCTCTTTGTGCTCAAGTTACCTGGTGAGAAAAGGGAGTGTTGGCCCAACGGCCTAATCCACCTGAGCATTCCCCTCCCTTCCCCAAGCTGATCGTCCATCCATCACGGCCCGGCACCAGCCCCGGCTCCTAAGAGTCCTTCAACATGCAGATACGGGCATAGATCTTCAGGGCAGGCCCCAACTTGATGTTCATGGCGCTCATGAGGTGGTCCTCCTTCAGCAGCAGCAGCGCCTGGCCATCGATCTCCTGGGCGCGGAATTCATCGGCGATCTCCTGGCAGCCTGCAAGGGCGGGGGGGGGGGTGGTGGTAAACATATCCCATCAGCTCAAGAGACTCACAATCCAGCAATTTCACAATCCCTCGGAGGTCCAGCAGCCCAACTTGGAGGACACGCAGCTTTCTTGACGCAAAAGAGGCGACCAGGGTACGAAAGATTGATGTCCAGCCTTCGAGGGAGGCTAAACCACCACACGGATCTCAGGAAGGTTACTCCGTTTCTATGGAGTAGGGTAACAAAATTTTGCAAGCCCGCCAGGATTTCTCTCCACTTCATCTTATACCTAACAAAAACTTGGAAGACAACCAGAGTTTCTACTTCATCTTAAACCTAACAAAATTGAGACAGGGTTAGTTTGAGTTTGGGGCACTTGTTTAACTTCTGGTATTCTCTAAAAGTCCTTGAACCACCCTTTCCCTGAGGGGAGGGGGCTTCTAGCAGGCAATTAGGTGGCCCAGCACGGTACAAGGAGATGGGGGTTCCGCCTCTTGGGAGGCTGTTCAGGGACTTCGCTGAGGCAGACACTTACCGGGCAGGGAGTGGATGAATTCGTAGACGTCCTCCACGTTCCACTTCGTGGGCTCGCTGCGCAGGAAGTGGCGTTCCATGCCCACCAGGTCCCGCAGGTGGACATCCGGCAGTTCCATGTCTCGCTCGCCCTGGCGCCGGCGGGAGGCGGAGGAGCTGGCCGAGATAGGGGAAAGAGGCTCCTCGTAGCTGGAGTTGTCCGAGCAGCGGCTGGAGTCCTCTTGTCCACGGCCGAGCTGGAGAGAGCTGGCTATCGCCATGGGTGCTGAACTGGGTGGCAAGGAGGCCGGTGCCTACGGGCCCACACAGGATGCGAATCAGATTGGCAGAGTTGTCTTCATACCCATTCTAGCTCAGAACTACGGATAGCCCTCAACGTACCACCACAATTGAGCCTCAAATTTATGTTGTTAAGTGAGGAAAAAATGGAGTTTTGCTCCATTTTATGACTTTTCTTGCCACATTTGTTAAATTAGTAACATGGTTCTTAAGTGAATTAATTGCCAGGTGTCCAAATTTTGCTCATGTGACCATGGGGATGTAATGGTTGTAAGTATGAAAAATGGTCATAAATCACTTTTTTGTGCTGTTGTAAGTCTGAATGGTCACTGAATGAACTTTTGTAAGTTCGAGGACTACCTATAAGACCGAACAGGACAGAACCATAATCTTTTCAATTTCTCTACTTCAGAATATATTCTGAATTTCTCTTTCTTCAGAAAATAGCCCGAAGCCCGAGTGCCTTGAATTTCCTGCCCACCAAGCTCACCGTCTTTTTGCTTTCTTTAGTGAATGGGGGAAGGGCTCCCTTGCAGGGTCGACGTCGACAGTGTGGAGGCGTGTTCGGTTTCTGATGCTTGCTGCGGTCCGGATGGAAGAGTCCCACTCGCTTGGTGCAACCCACGTTATACCTGGGGGGGAGGGAGGGGACGGAGAAATTAATATGGTGCTGCGAAGAAGAAAGACCAAGTCTCCCATCCGAATCCCAACCCTGTGTAGGGTTTAGTGACAGTCAAAGGGAGCTCCGGAGCCCGGTCTCCCTTCGGTTTTGGGGGTTCGGAGGTACCTCTTTGCACACGCCATGGAACAGAAGCGCTTCGAACGCTTGAATTTGTACGCAAAATCGAGGCGGCCGCAGAGCTCGCATTTCAACTTCGGAGGAGATGGCTCGTCTTTGGATTCTGCGGAAGAAGAGCAAAATATTTCAGTCAAGGCCAGAGGAAGTAAAACCCCCTCCCTGGAGCAGTGGTGGGATTCAAACAGGTGAACAAGCGGTTCTCTGGGTGGGTGGGTGGATGCGGCTTCCGGAAGTCCGTTCTGGGCCTGGGCAACAAAAAATTAGACACCGGTTCTGCCAAAGTGGTGCGAACCGGCTGGATCCCACCACTGGCCCTGGAGGCTGCGCAAAGGGGCCAGTTTGCTACCGGTCACTCGAGTGGAAAGGAAGGAACAGAGAGGGGCCCCAATGCTGGAGCACCCCCGTCCCCCAAATTTTAAAAGGCTTGAGGAAAATGACTGTCAACCCCCGAATTTACGCGCAATTGAAACCTCTGCAGAAATTGAACAAACTTGGGGGAAATTTAGGTGGGTGCAGAAACTTTGTAAAAAAAAGTTTTTCTTCCCCTGCCTGACCCCTCCAAAGGCATCACCCTGTGTGTCCAGCCGAGAGGCATTCTGCACATGCTCAGAGTCTCTATACCCCCTTCCTTTCTCAGGACTGATCTCTTCCATCTCCGAGTCGGTAAAAAAGAGATTTTTCTTCTCCTGCCTGACCTTCCCCCCCCCCAAGCCCTCCAAAGACATCGGAGAGGCGTTCTGCACATGCTCAGAGTCCCCAGACCCACCTTGCAAGTAAGGGTCTTCCATCTCGGAGTCGGTGGTGGTGGTGGTCTCTTGCAGCGGGGGCTTCTCTGCCAGAACCGCCTGCGCATACTTCTTCTTCAAGTTCCCCACCAGCAGCGAGGAGCGGCCCACCTGCTTGGGGAAGGAAAAGGTATTTAGAGAGCCCACCCCCCCAAAAGGGCTTGGGGCCCCGCAAGACTTGGGGGGGTCAAGGAAGAGGCTGAACGCTTTGCATTCCGCAGCCAAGGAAGGAATGGAGCACCACCCTCAAAATGCAGCCCCCCCACGACCCCCAAGGCTCTCCCCATCTAATTTTCCCTAGCTCCCCCCAAAATTTCAGCTGGGGGGGAGAGAGAGACACGTACCGGGAACGGTTCGGCCCCTTCCTGGATCACGAACCCCTCGATCAGATGAGTCAAGATTTGGGGCTTCACGACCGCTTGGGGGGGCAGCTTGTTCTCCCCGTTTTGGGGCACGGCGCTGGGAACGGTGGAGGCAGCACTGCCGTTTCCTGATGTCATGCCGGGGCTGCTGGGGTCTGGGGGCGTGCGAACGCTGCCGGGGGTCGCCTCTGCTGGGGGGAGAGCGAGGAGGGGCCGGCGTGATGCAAGGTTCGGAGACAAAGGCAGAGGCCCCTGGCGCAAGAGCTGCCCGGCCCCTCCCGCCCGGCCCTGATTACCATACAGCTGACTCCCACCCCCCACCCACCCCCACCCCTCGCCAGAGACCCACGCTGGACAGCCCCTCGCGCCAGAGGAGCTCAGATACACCAGAAGCACAACCTGGACTGTGAGAGTCCTTGGCCCTCCCTGAGCTAATAGCTCAGGGCGCATCGCTACTACTAGCGTTAGCTGGCTAGTAAACTAGCTAGTAAACTAGGAGCACTAACACTGATGATGTTACTTAGTTTGGGTCATGAAACGCCTGCAAGAAAACCACCCAGCTCAGAGAGCACCCAGGACCCCAGAATTATTACAGGATTTTTGGATATTATGGGGATGGTTATTTCTGGATAGGGGGGGGGCGGGCTTTATGACAAACCAGTGAGGACTAGAAACATCAGGAGGCTGTGGAAAGGACACAAAGCACAGAAAAACAGGTCTGTTGCTTCCCACCTGATGGCTGACTTACATTAAGTAAATGCTTTTATAAAAGCAAACAAACAGAAAACCAGGGAATGTGCTCAACAATAGCTAAATAATAAATGAAATCAACTCATCGAACAGACTAAAGACATTCAGGGGGAGACAGGAAGAGCTTTGGAAGATCTATACGCAGCTTCCGTTGTGTTCCTTGTTTACAAAACTGTATTTGGGGGGGAGGGCAATGTTTACAAATACTTGTTTGTTTTTTATCTCTTATCTCTTCTTCTTCTTTCTCTCCCAAAAGCAATGCCTATAACCCAAATTATCCAGCACTAACTCCAGACCGATTGGCAAAGAACAAAGAATTCTTGGGCTTGCAAAGCATGATAAAAACAATGAAACCACCCAGGTTTCTGGACCTCATGAGGTCTGAAGCAGGGTGTTTATACAGGCAGAAAGTGATCGTATCCACAAGGACTTGTGTACAAATGAGGAACTGGACCTCACGTGCCTACGATGCTCTACATCAGGGGTAGTCAACCTTGGCTCTTTTATGACTCGTGGACTTCAACTCCCAGAATTCCTGAGCCAGCTAAGCTAAGCTGGCTCAGGAATTCTGGGAGTTGAAGTCCACGAGTCATAAAAGAGCCAAGGTTGACTACCCCTGCTCTACATGCACATAATTTTCTGCTCAAAAGGACCCAGATTTGCAAACGAGAAAAAGAAGCAATTTTTTTTCTTTCTTTTTATGTTGCAGAAAGTAGAGTCCAGACCCGTTCCAAGCTGTTTAACAGGAAAAAAAAATCGATGTGACATGTGCAACTCTTTGCACGCCAAGTCGCCTGGCGACACACGCATGAGAGGGCCGGTGGCTGTCCCGCCTGCCCGCCCTTGCAATGCCCCGGAGACGCGGCGCTCCCAGTTCACCCGCCTCCCCATCGCAGCAACGCAGGCAACCCTCACAAACAGAAGCCAGCAGGCACACTTTGCAAGGCATGCTGGGAGCAGCTTTGATCAACAAAGGACGCCCAGCTGCCCACCCCGCCAGACGCTCCGGCCGCAAAGGGGCTTCGCCTGCTTAGATTCCCAAAAAAAGACCGAGAACGGCAGCATCGCCAAGAAGGGAGCCCGGTGCGTCTCTTGATGAGTCTCTGTTCTTGTCCTTGCCTCGTGGCAATCTATAGGACACCCCAAAGTCCATCTCAGACAGAACCCAATTATCTCTGTTGCACCCCCAAAAGTAAACCTCCCTGGTGGGATCGGTTGGTACCGTGCTTGAGCAGGGGGCTGGACTAGAAGACCTCTAAGGTCCCTTCCAACTCGCTTATTCTGGTTTTTTTTTTCCTGTTTAATTATTATATTTATTTCATTTGTATTCTGCTTTTATTATTTTTATAAACACAGGTAGTCCTCGATTTACAAAAGTTCATCTTCACAGCACTGAAAAAAAAGGGACCATTTTTCACACGACCATTGAAGCATCCTGATCAAAATTCAGACGCTTGGCAACTGATTCGTATTTACGACGGTCACAGTGTCCTGGGGTCATGGGGTCACCAGGTTCAAAATCCCCCCTTAACCACCGAATATCTCTAAGTAAATAAAAACAGTTGCGGGGACTGGGAACCTTGCAAGCCCCTCATAAATGCACAGCATTTGAAAACTGATCCTTAAAAGCAGACAGAAGTTATTCCAAGAATTCAGATGCCTGCAAAACTCACATAAATCTTATCCAAGGTTTTCAGCGAAGGTTTGTTATTGCACAAAAAAGGAACAAGGTTGGTTTCCAACTCAGAGGAGTCCAGAAAAAAAAACCCCAAACCTTCTGACTTACGCTTGCCGCCACCACCAGCTGGCAGATAAATTCCCACACTGGGCTAAAGCCGTGGTTTGTTCATCAAACCACAAAGAGTCACGAAGCCCACCCACCCCCTTGCAAACCACAAGAGCAGAGTTCACGCAATTCCACTTGGCGCCCAAAGTTACTTTGAGTCCGGCTGGTGAACGGGAGGCTGTGTCTGCAAAACCACAATCAAGGTTTTGGATCAGGGCTGGATTAACTACGGTTCCATAAAGGCAGTTCCGTCTAGCAAGATTGGGTGGGGGGGGTTGGACTAGAAGACCTCCGAGGTCCCTTCCCACTTGGTTCTTCCGTTCTTCTGTTTCTGTTCTCCCAAAAACGGAAGCGTCAGCAGGGCACATGCGCGGGGAAGGAAGCTGTGGCACGGACGCCCTGGCAGGGAGGGCGGGCCACCGAACCAAACAAACACAAAGAGAACAAACCCCACCCACCCAGCTGTGAGTCTGGAATTATTGTGGTTTTCTGTTCTCACCCTGGGGATTTGGGGAGCTGGCTTTGCTACCCCACTTGCACACTCCTGCTGCTCCCTCAGTGCAAATCCACCCAGGCTGGGCTCTGACCACCACCCCCCCACAGCCCTCCAGATGAGGATGGAGGACACACACACACCCCGCAAGCATGGCCATAATCCAATCAGATCCAGCCTGCCTCCTTTGAGACGCCATCTGGACTCACAATGAAAATTCAAGCTAGCTTGCAAAGCAACGGAAACCCATCGCCCATCACGCCCACCCCCACTGGGAATTCCTAGCCATGTGGTGCTCCCCACCGGAAGGACGGGCAAGCCAGCCCCCCACCCCTCAGAGAGCGGAGAGGGTCCACGCTGCATCTCTCCGCAGGAGTCACCGTTCTCCCATTGCATTTATTTATTTTAGTATTTGTTTATTTGCCGCCTCTCTCCTATCAAAATGAATCTGGGCGGCTAGTTGAAGGCCTGTCAGAGGCTACGACTGCCAAATCAAAAGGGGGGGGTCTCTTATGAGAGAAGAGGAATTCATCCCCCCACCCTTAACGTTACTGGGGACATTCAACCAATTCTCTCATTGTAATCTCTTAGAAGATAAAATAATAGGGATAGAATAGAATAGAATAGAATAGAATAGAATAGAATAGAATAGAATAGAATAGAATAGAATAGGAGCTGGAAGGGACCTCGGAGGTCTTCTAGTCCAGCCCCCCCTGCTCAAGCAGGAAACCCCCTACCATTTCTGACAAACGGCTGTCCAGTCTCTTCTTAAAATCCTCCCGTGATGGAGCCCCCACAGCTTCTGGAGGGAAGCCCTTCTGCCAGTTAAGTGTCCTCTATTTTAAGTTTCTCCTTAATTCCGGAAGGGATTTCAAAAGTGATTCCAAGATCCAGGAAGGGAAGGGAAGGGAAGGGAGGGGAACCACTATGACATCTGCTAAGCGACGGAAGAAAGGACTTGTTTACAGTCATAAAAAGCAGCCTTTGTGTGTCCTTCCCACCCTCGGCCACACGCCACTTCCTGGAAACAAGAGTCCTTCCGACACACACCGAAAATATTTCATGAATCAGAGTCAGAAAAGCCCGGACAACCTTCGTCCAGGAAGGCCGAGCAGACCTCAGCCAGGGGGAGGGCGGGAAGGATGAGCCCGCTGCCCCTCCCTCTCGGCCCAGCTAGCTTCCTAATAGGTGACACAAAAGCCACTTTATCTTCACATTCTTTGGGAGATAAGTTGTTGAGGGCTGCACAAGGGGGGGCTGCACAAGGAGGGGGGGGAACACGCTCCATTTGTCACCAGAAGAAAAAAAATCTGTTTCCTTTCCCGGCAGGCAGCCCCTCCCCTCCCAGTGGCTTCTCCCAGGAACCATAGTTTATGGAGAAAGTTTGGAAACCAAAGGGGGGGGGAAGGGTGCTCCACAGCTGGGGGGGCTCACTTGAGCAGGAAAGGAGAGATTCCCCCCCTCCAGGCCTCTAGGGTGGACTGTGGGGAGAATGCCCCCAACCCAGTAGCGCTGCGTTTCTCAACTGGAGCCACCTTAAAGCGTGTGGACTTCAACCCCCCCCCCTCCAGCCAGAATATGAAGACTTCAACTCCTAGAATTCCCCAGAGAGCATGTGTGGACTTCAATTCCCATAATCCCCTGGCCAGCGTGAGGTTCAGAAAAAAACAACACTGAAAAAGTTTGCAGAAGAAACTCAAAACAATCCCAAGGGGTGTAAGAGGAGTAAACAAACTTGGAAATTTCTGTAATCGACAATAAACGACATTTCTGAAATCCTGAATCTGCGAAATTTCTCAAGGTGGCCTACCTCAAAGGGCTGGCGGAGAGGTTGTGTTAAAATGAGACCATTCAGGTCAGCGATCCAGTTACAGTCAACAAACCCACAAGGACACCATCTGTTAGGTTGGTTTGCAAGTCCCGGCTAATGTCAACACGAGGGTGTTTTGATAACCCGGGTTAGGCCTTGGGGGCTGTGTGAAGGGTTAGGGAACCAGGAGAAAGATTTACAGACAACACAGCTGGGGGGGGGGGAGGACCCCAACTGGCTACCACCCAAACTATCCATCCCCAAGGCACTCCCAGCCCAAGAGAGCGCTCGAGAAAAGCACGATGGGAGATGCGGTCCCCAAACATTAGAAGGATTCCAGGGCCAGGATGCTCCCCGTCTAAAAGGGGGTCCTGAGCACAGAAGCCATTTTAAACTATGTCACCCCCCTCGCCCCCTTCTTGCCCCTGACAAGATAACACAAACTGCATCCGGGATGGGAGGGACAGTCCAAATCCCAGCCCAAGAACGGCCGTTTCTCTGTTAACTCTGACACGCATTTCTAACTCGCTTCCTCCAGGGAGGCGTTTCGCAACCGGGCGCCCTCCGCGTAACTCAGGACCCCAGACCCAGAAGAGGGCTGGCTGGCTGGCTGGCTGGCAGGCGAGCATGGGCGCTGTAGTCCCAAAGGAGCCGGTCGCCCAAGCCAGGTTAAGCGAGGGGGGTTCCCACGCGGGGCAGAGAACCTGATCGGGACTCCGGGAGGCCCGCAGACCCCCCCCCAGTCTCCCCCGGGGTAGAAGGCGCGGAAAGGAGGGGGGGTCCGCGGGGGCCTCCCCCAAAGGGGCACCCAAAGAGGCGAGGCGAAGCCCCCCCCCGGGCCCAAGATCGGCGCCTGGGTGGGCTACCCCTGGATGGGGGGGCTCCACGGCAGGAGGAGACGGGCGACCCCCCCTCCCCGAGGACAGAGAGCCCCCCGCCGCCCCGCAGGCGCCCCCTCCCCGCCCGGGAGCCGCTCACCTGCCTCACCTGCCCGGCTCACCTGCAGAAGCCCATCCGCGCTCCGGTCGGGGCCGGGGAGGGGGGAGCAGCCGCCGCCCGCAGCCCCGCAAGGGCGTCGGGGCGTCCCGGGCGTCGGGGCGAGGCGAGGCGAGGCGGCNCCCACGCCCGCCCCCCTCGCCGCCCAGCCCCGCCCAGAGGGTCGCCCGGGACCCCCTTCGCGCCCCCTCCCCACGCCGCCGCCGGTCCCGGTTGCAGCCTCACGCTGGGAGAGAGAGCGGCTCGGAAGGGGCCCTGGAGGTCTTCTAGTCCAGCCCGCTCCTGCCGGAGACTTGGGGGAGGGGGCAAACGGCTCCCACACGGGGGTCCCGGTTAGAGGCAGAGGCTGGGCGGGAGGGGGAGGCCTTCCAGGGAGGGGTCCTCGGGGCTCTTGCAGACGTTTCCTGGCCCAACTGGGGAACGTCGTCAGTAGAGGCCATGCCTAGTTGGGTCAGGAAACGTCTCCCAACCTTTGTTGGTGGGTCTTCCAGTGCAGCCCCCCTGCCCGAGCAGGAGACCCTCCTAGACCGTTCCACTTTTGTGCAGAAATAATAAAAGGGAAACTCTCACCTATCTGAAAAGCTTCCTTCTCCGATCTCCTGGGATTCTCGGGGCGAGCTGGGCTGCCCCCAAAGGCCGGCAAGACCCCTCCCCAAGGGCCAGGGCTGGACTCAGGGCCCAGGGCGGGCGGGCGGCTGGCTCCAGCCCAGACAAAAACAAGGGTTTTTTTAAATATATTTTAGATCCTTTTGGGAAGGCCGGCAGAAGGACCGGCCGTTAGGTTCCCCCCTTTGTCCCCTTCGCTGGGCTTAATCTGATTAAGCCTGCCCCCCTCGCCTTCTGCACCGCACGCCATAAGGCAGATGCTGGGGCTTTTTATCTGCACGCACCACAATGCACACAAACACACACACACACACAAACATTTGGGTGGCTTTTTTTTTCCCCCTCTCCCTGCACGGCAACAAAAGCCAAGAAAAATTCTGGAGGGTC